TGTTTCCCGTAGACTTAGCTTTCTGCCTGTGTAATACCCAATTAACTTTAATTATCCAGGGTTCTTGGTAGGAAGGTCATTTTGTTGTTACCTGGCCACCAGCATATTTAAAATGGATTTTCTTCTCTACTTTGTTCCAATCATATTATAAGTGAAACTAACAGGCATTTCCAGAATCGGCCCTGAAAAGTAGCAGATAGATTAAACTCTTATTCACTTAAATGGCACCATTTGATTATATGGCATACCAATCTATGTATAACTTCATATGAAAATTTATTCCTTTATTGCTTCCCACAGTGCTGGAGCTCCCTTCCAGTGATAAGATTTGAGCTCTCACCTGAAAATCTCTTGGTTGCTCACTCTTGAAGAGTTCATTGATGGCAATAAAAACTGATAAGCAAGATAGTGAAAGATTGAAAAAGAAAATTAAACAAATGAAAATTATAAGAGATTTAAACATAAATAAGTCTAGGGTACTAGACTATCTGTGATTATCAATACCTGCAATGCTACGATACACTGAATAGCAGAATGTTAGACTTCTGACTATTGCTGAAGGACTATACTGCTGTAATAATATAGGGGAAATCAGTCAGGGTTGAGGGAAAGGGGCGAATCCAAGTGCCTATGGAACTGTATCATCAATAAGTTTTTAATTAAAAAAATTATATGGCAGGCAGTTGGTCTAGTCGGTCTAGTTGGGATGCTTCTGTCTCACATTGGAGTGCCTGGGTTTGGTTCCCAGCTCTGGGTCCTGTTTTAGCTACCTGCTAATGTGAACCTTGGGAGGCAGCAGTGATGGCTGAAATAATTGTACTTCTGTCATACAAATGAGTATTCTGTATTCCTATTTTGTCTTGGTATGCACGCACGCACACACACATTGTCGTTTCAGGGAGCACTCTCTGTCTCTGGGTATGTTTGCCTCTCAAAAAAAAATAAACATACATCTGGTAGAAAAATAAGCATAACAAATATAATATGAATAATTCTAAAATTTGAGAGCAAACAGTAATAGTTAATACATAGGAATACAGCACCTCTTAAGGAAAAATATTTTCATTTTGGTTCGCAAAAGAAACAACCATATGTTATGTACCAAAAATACCTGGCTAGAAAGGGTAGAAATAAAGAACTAGATAAAGGTATGTCAGAAAAATGAAAGGAAAAATATTAGGAATAGTGATCTTAATATGAATGAAAGTAGAATTGAAGCCCAAAAAACAAAGTGGGGGACTTTTAATACTACATAATATCATTCTCCACGATGATATGATACTTTCCAATATGTATATAGTGAATAACATACCACCCATCTGTATGAGACAAAAACTGTAGGAGCAAGGATATGTAGTGATCATAGATTTAGTATCAGACATGTTAAATAAGCAGAAGAACAAGTGAGGAAATAAAAGATCTAAATAACAAATAGTACGGTAATTCTGATGAATATCTAGCAAACTCTACACGTTGATTTTATTTTACTTTTTATGAGAAATTTTGTTTTATGATACAGTTCCATTGGTTCTGGGATTGCCCCTGCCTTTCCACAAGATCCTTTCCCCGCTTCCCCCTCATTGATTTCCCTTCTAGTTTTACAATGGATGTCCTTCATGAACAGTCACAAGTCCATCATGCTGCTGTTGAAGTGTCTCGACAGTGTAGGCATGGACATTGTCAGAGAGTCCATCATCTTACTGTTAGGATATTATCGATTCTTTCCCCGGGAGTGCACCCTTCAGTCTGTATGCATAGAGACACACAGCACTTTGTCTCCATATCTGAACATATCAGTCCCCACTACACTTCCATTATCTATCCCCTAAAATACAGAACTACACATCGATTTTAAATGCAGTAGATGATACACCTTCTTGAATACATCTGGTACCTACACAAAATATGATCAAGTATTAAGTCCAAAAGAAAACATCAATAATTTCCATTAGGTAGGCATAAATGGCGCTTTTATTACAATACATTAAAATAAATTAATAACAAAAATAAGTCCTCCAACATGCAAATTTTTAAACCTGTTTAAATCACTCTGGTGAAACAGAAAACAAACTGAAATTTTAATTTTTTAACTTAATAACGATGAAAACATTACATCTTAGATCCTTATGCTATGTGTTAGGTTAATGGTGAAAAGAAAGCAAATATTGTTCATCCTACTCTTTTTTTTTATATACCAAGAAACTATTATTTTTAAAGTTTTATTTGTTTTACAGCCAGAGAGGGAGAATATTCTATCCTCTGGTTCATTTCTGAAATGCCATAAAAACTAGGGCTGGTTCAGGCAGAACCAAGAGGCAGGAACTACATCCAAATCTGCCACATGGAATGCAAGAACCCAAGTAAGTCCCAACCTTGCAGATGCATTGGCAGGAAGCTAGATGGGAAGCAGAGGAATCAGGACTCACACCAGCATTCCAATACGGGGTGTCTTGATTCCAAATGGGAGCTTAACTTGCTGAACCATAGTACCTGCTCCTTATCCCTTACCCCTTAATAAAATTCTCCTCAAAGAAATACAGCACTTTCATTCTTAATGTTTGTAACATTGTTCTTATAGAATTTTAAATATTGTGCTTTTTCCTCTTTTCTATACATATATAACAAGAAACAAAAGTTTCTGTTATTTTGCCAACATGTTTAAAGTTCACAAAACAATTTTTTCTCATAATAAGATTGATTCTTATGGGTTCATCATGTGTTATATATATGTTCCCACACAAGTATTCACAGTGAAACTGACTATGTAGATCTCATAGATAACCTCCTTTGGTTAAGAGTAGAAAGCTTAAATCAGTTTCCAGAGAAAACGAGTAAGGAACTGATTTATAAAAAAGTATCATGAACAGATGTAGAGATATTAGCCAATACAATTAAAAATAAAAGAACTCCATTCGAAATATGACTACATGAAGAGGTTATAAAATTCTATTATAAATCATACAATAGCATATCTAGAGAACTGTAGAAAATCAGTTGCAAAATTAAAACAGTAAAATAGCTCAAGTAGTAGAATATAAAATCATATAAAAATGAATAACTTTTATAACACATTAAGGATATATAAACATGCCTAGGGTATGTTGCAGTGTTAGAAATTAAGAAATTTTCCAGAAGAGATGGAACATGTCAAGAGAAGACACCGATCTGGAGACATTCCCTATAGCCTAAAGTAGAATAGTTTAAACAATAAAATAACTAGTAATATTGAATTACTAAGAGAAATCCATGGTATTATGATAGAAATAAAAATAAATAAATAAATAAATTGGAAATAAGTGATAGAGCTTTGTTATAGAAAAAATTTCTACTAATTAATGTGGAAGGAATGAAGAAAACAGAAACCACAGCAATAATTAGAACACCACAGTAATAATTGTGCAGCCAAGATAGCCACCAATGCATATTAAAATTAGTCCATGACAACCTGAGGAAAACAGGATATTTTTGTAGTCTCCAAATATTTAATAATCTAACAGCAAGACATTGCCTGAGCCAAGTGACTGAATTTAATATAACCAGTAATTAGCATCGTACATCTGTGATGTTAATGAAATGACAAAGATACAACAGCATCTCTGTTGTATTCTTATCAAAAAGCAAGTCATCTTAATCCTGTCATAAGAAAACAAACATCAGACAAGCCTGAATTGAAGGCAAATAATACAAAATAACATGACAAGCACTCTTCGAAAGTGTCAAGGTCATAAAAGACAAAGAGAGATCGTCATAGATTAGAGGATACTAAAGGAGATGTAATTAATTACAGTTACATCCATTGTGACCATTTAGGGAAATGAACCAGTGGATGGAAGGTCTGTCTCTCCCTGTCTCTAATTCTGAATCGAAAATAAGTCTTCTAAAAAGAGAATTGTTCGCTTTACAGAAACTGCCTAACTGCTTTAAAGTAACTTTTATTGATAATTTACACTCAAGAATCAGAAAAAAAAATTCAGGAAGGATTCCTTTACCCTTTATTAAAATCTAGAATAATCTAGCTTTCCTGTCAATACTTCAAACCTTTACAAATAGAAGTTGCTCTATCCATTTAGAAAGTTAAAGATGTGGAATGGTGTGATCGGCAGCAATTCAGAACAGTTGAAATATTGGAACTACTTGAGCAGTGCCCTCGGAACATGCCCCACTTCGGGGACCCTAGGATGGTTGGGAGGGTGGGTGTGGCTTCTCCCTTTGTCTCTCCCCTTCCCCCAGATACAGGAAGGAAAAAAGAGAATGTGGAAACAACGGTCTTACCCACTTTCCTGTAGCCCTTGACCCTTTGAACCCTAATCAAGTATGTAAAGATCATCAAAATTTAAAAAAAAAAAATCTAAAAAGAAAGTTAAAGGGATTTCTTTTATTTGAAGCAGAATGGATAGGAATGAGCTTTCTATTTGAAATGCAGAATTGCATAGAGAGGAGAAATCTTCCTTCTGCTGGTTCACTCCCCATGTGGCAACAACCAGCAGCTGGAGTTGAGCAAATCTAAAGCTGAAACCTTCTTTGGGGTCTCCTATACAGCAAGGACTTGAGCCTTCCTCTCCAGCTTCCCCAGGTCATAAGCAGGGATGTGGATTGAAGTGGAACAGCCAGGAGTCATATGAGGATGCCAGCTCTGCAGGCAAAGGGTTAGCTTGTTATGCCACTGTGCAGCCCAAGGGGATGATCTTTTCAGATTGGTTTTAGGGAGCAGATGTTTAACAGATCAAGATTTCTGCATTCCATTTCAGGAATTCCTGGTCTCAGGTCCTCCATCTACTCTCTATTCCAGCTTCCTGCTGATACACACAGATGATGACTTAAATAGTTAAGTCCCTGCTACACATATAGGACACAGATTGAGTTCCTCGCTCCTGACGTCAGCCCGACCAAGCCCTGGCTGTCATGGGCCTTTGAAGAGTAAACCGGTGGATGGGAGATCTATCTCTGTGTCTTTCTGCCCCTCTCTGTCTCATTTCTCTGCCTTTCAAACAAAAATTTTAATGATATTATCCAATAGTGATGGCCTTCTCAAACTGCGTGCACTATTTTCCCAGGTATTCCGAAAGGACCTTATCAGTGCCATGAAAATTCCAGATTCTCATCACGTTAATCCAGACAGCTATTACCTCTTTACGGATACATGGAAGGAAGAATGGGAAAAAGGAGTCCAGGTACCAGCCAATCCGGACCATTTTCCACAACCTTCCCTCAGGTATTTGCATACTTGCATCTTTGGTTTGGAAACTGGATGTTTCAGTTTTGTGTGTGTACTGGTTATAGACCAGTAATACTTGTTGCTAAAGATTCATTTTATTTTTATTGGAAAGTCGATTTACAGAGTAAAGGAAAAACAAAGTGTTCCATCTGCTGATTCACTCCACAAATGGCTGCAATGGCCGGGGCTGACTGGGCTGATCCAAAGCCAGGAGCTGGGAGCTTCTTCCAGGTCTCCCATGTAGGTGCGGGATCCGAAGGCTTTGGGCCATCCTCTACTGCTTTCCAGGCCACAAGCAGGGAGCTGAAAGAGAAGTGCAGCCTGGTAGACAAACTGGAACCCATATGGGATCCCGGGTATGCAAGGCAAGGACTTCAGCCACTAGGCCACTGTGCCGGGCCCCAATAATACATTATATCACATTGCAATAGGGCAATAGTTAAATTAAGATTCATTACTTATGAACATAATTATGTGGCCATTTATAGATGAAATTGAAGTCCAGCCTGGAATAATGATACATTTTTAGAGACCAGGATTTCCAAGTATGACTCAATTATCAATAGTGTTTATTAGTCTTCAAAGAGAAACAGAGCTCTGATTAACACAGATGAGAACTTGCTTCGGTAGAATAGGGGCATTATTGTGATGGTGTCTGTAAATAGTGAACTAAAACATAGAGTTTATAAAAATGTGTATTCGCAAATGAAGAAGGATTATTGGAATAATTGGGTTGACTGCAGGCACACAGCCTTCATTTGCAGACTGAAGAAGAAAGTTGAAATAAGAGAGAATACTTTGCTTTTAACAGAGGAGAGAAAGCCTTTTCTGCCAGAGTAAGCAGTAAGTTCCGTTCTTCGAGAGTAGTGACTGGTTTGGAGGCCATTTTTTCTTACTGGTCTCTGTGTTCTTGGTGCTTTACACAATAACTGACACGAAATAAAATGTTCAATATTTGATTGAATTGAGAAATCACTGCTTTTTAGATCTCATTGTTCATCTGTTCTCTACTCTGTCAAGTTCTTAAAGACAGAGGTAAGCATGCCCCTAGCTGCAGATACTCAAGACCTACTCATGCTCCAGAACTTCTTGTGAAATCACTTCTAGAAACCCAAGCCCAAGCTATTCCATTCACAGAGAAGCTGTTTTATACTTCTTGATGGAAAGCTCCACAGCCGATCCAAATTCGGATGGTAGGAGCTTCTTCTGGGTCTCCCACACAGATGCAGGGTCCCAAGGCTTAATCCCTCCTCTACTGCTTTCCCAGGCCACAAGCAGGGTACTGGAAGGAAAGTGGAGCAACCTGGACACAAACCAGCACCCAAATAGGATCCCGGCGCATGCAAAACAAGGACCCCAGCTGCTAGGCTGTTGTGCCAGGCCCTAAACCCATACTTTTATTTCATTTTTTCATGACCTTTTTTTATGTATATACCTGTAACTGCCCTGGTTATTATTGAGAGTAACTAACATGTTTACTTTGATCTTGTTGGTAAGTCAGTCAGTATCAAAGATTTACTGATGGAAATGATTTTAATTATTCAGGCTAAGTGGAAAATTTCAGTGTGCTCCTTTAAAATGGTGTCTATCTGATAGTAAACCATATAAGTTGGGTAGCAAGAATGGAGCAGTAGTTTAGTAACAATTGTAAAAACTAAAAAAGCTTATTCTCAAATAGAAACATGATGCCTAATACATATAAAGCTTTAATATCCTTATATTTGTTCTGAAAGTTTAGAATATTTATCATTTTAAGTGATAGGATAGGAATTTTTTGCTAAATCTCTTCTGTTTGGCACATTTCTTTGCCACATGCAACTTTTAATTTTCATTGAACACTAAGACTATTAAATTATCTGTATTAATTTCTTAGTGAAATCCTGAACTAATTGCTTTTGGTAAATAGAGTGTATAGATTTCTACTTTTTATTTTTAAAAGATTCAACAGATGTAAAAAAAAATGTACATGTTTATGGGGTACTATGTGACGTTTTGATATGGGTGTGCATTGTAGAATGTCCAACGAAGGTAAATGTCTCTTCAAACATTCAGCATTTCTTTGTGGTAAAAATATCATAAACCCTATCTTCTAGTTTAATTGTGATGGTTTTTGATGGGGAGAAATATGCAGTGTCTAAACTGTCTGTGGTCATGGTTCTTATTCCTAGCTAGCTGTGTGACCCAGTACCCATTGCTAAGCTTTGCCCCTTTTCTTCCTCCCTGCCTCTGGTAACCATCATTAACGCCTGTGAGAACAGCATTTTTAGACTTCACATGAAAGTGAAATCATATAATTGCCTTTCGGTGTTTGACTTTTTTCACTGAAGTAATGATTCCCACTTTCATCCCTGTTGTTATAAATGACAAGATTTCATCCATTTTCGGCTGAGTAGTATTTCATTGTGTACATGTGCCACATTTTCTTTATAATTTGCTTGGTTTTTAGAAGGCATCATTAAGAATCTTACTGTAGGATATAACATTCCCTGTGGAACAGTGATTCTCAAATTTTAGGATGCATCATAATTACCTAGAGGGCTTGTTAAACTTTTTAGCCCTATTCCCAGAGCTTTTGATTCAGTAGATCTGAGGTGTGGGGCATCAAATTTTGTATCTAACAATTCCCTACATGATGCTGATGCTACTAGTCTAGGAATAACACTTGGAACATAATTGTTATGGAATATGTTCATCTTATTTCCTGAATTGAATAGAAATTTCCATAATTCTGTCAATTGCCTTGTGTTTTCCTTTTGGTTTTCAATATGAGTCAACCAGTTTGGAGGCTCAACTAATGTAATATTGAAGCTTTATGTTTGAAATAGATCATCTCCTCAACTATAACTGCTTAGTGCATCATCTTACAGGTCCCAAACTATGTCGTGTGATTTTTGCTTTTTGCTTTTTGTGGGCTACCTTAAAAATTTTGTGACATGAAATGGTATTGGAACATTGATGAAAAATTAGTTTTTATGTTCATAAAATTTTTGAAACAAAATTTAACATTTTTACATACTAAGTTCAAGGTTATTTATTTAGCACCATGTTGTGAAATTACTCCCAGATTGGCTGTTTACTTAGGTCCTAGTCTTAAGATTTCCTTTTTGCCATCCATATAAACTCTTCGGAGTTTTGACAGTAATTTTTTAAAATAATTGATACATGAATCCATGGAATCAAATATGTGCTTTGCAAATATTTTCCCAGTCTACCATGAATGGTCTTTTTATCCTCTTTGTAGGGTCTTTCACAAAATAAAAGTGAGTTTGATGAAGTTCACTGTATAGAAATTTTATTTGTTTGTATCATGCTTTTAATATCCTTTTTGTGAAGTTCCCACATAGCCAATGTCTCAACAATTTTCTCCTATGTGTTCTTTTAAGAGTTTTATAGTTTTACATTTGACAGTTAAAACATATAATTCAGTTTGAACTTTTGTTCTATAAGATGGGAGGTATCGATCTAAGTTCAAAATTAGCTAAATTGATTCCCTCCACTTTTTTTTTTCCAAATTACTGCAGCTGTTCTAGTTTCTTTATCTTTCCATACAAATTTTAAAATTATATCTAAAGTCCTGCTGGTAGGACTTGGCATTAAATCTTTATTATTTGAGGAAAAAATGTCATTCTTACTAAATTGAACCTTCCTTTTTTTTTTTAATTTATTTGGACCTTTGATTTCTTTTTTTTTTTTTTAAGACATTGTTATTTGTTTTAAAGGCAGAGTGATGGGGATGGGAGAGAGAGAACTTCCACCCACTAGTTCAATTCTCAAATGGCTGGAACAGCCATGGCTGGGCCAGGCTGAAATCAGGAGCCCAGAACTTCATCCTAGTCTTCCACGTGAGCAGTAGGGGGACCCAACTGCGTGAGCCGTTACCTGCTGCCTCCCGGGATGCACAGCAGCAGGGAGCTGAATTGGAAGTGGGGCATGCAGAACCCGTCAGGACCTGTGTTACCAACATTACAAGCAGCAGCTTAATCTACATCACAACACCGACCCCGTCTCCTTCATTTCTTTCATCAACATTAAATAGGTTTGCTTTTAAAGATTTATTTATTCTTACTGGAGAGTCACATTTACAGAGAGGAGAGACAGGAAGGTCTTCCATCTGCTGATTTCACTCCCCAAGTGGCCGCACAAGCTGAGGCTAGCTGGGCTGATCCAAAGCTAGGAACCAGGAGCCTCTTCCGAGTCTCCCACTTGGGCACAGGGTCCCAAGGTTTTGGGCCGTTCTCTACTGCTTTCCCAGGCCACAAGCAGGGAGCTGAATGGGAAGCAGAGCAGCTGGGAAACAACTGGTGCCCAGATGGGATCCTGGTGCTTGCAAAGCGAGGATTTAGCCACTAGGCTACTGCACTGGGCCCAACATTACATACTTTTCAGTAATCAAGTCCTATATGTAGTTCCCTAGATTTATACTTATGCTAAAAACTTTTTAACAATTTTAATAGTGTTTCTAACTTGATTGCTATGTATTCACTGATATATACACACAACCAATTTTTTGTCAGTTTTATCCTCATTGCCTTGCTGAATTGTGTAGTTTTGTCAGTTTTTCCAAAAATATTCCTTGAAATTCCCTATCTGAACCACCTTGTCATGTGAAAAGGGTAGCTTTATTTCTTCCTTTCTGATCTCTTTATCTTTTCTTTCTTTTCCTATTCAGATGGCAAAACCCTCCAGTACTGTGTTAATAGCAGTAGTGTTAGCATTTTTCCCTGTTCCCAATCTTGAGACAGCTTTCCTTGTTCCCATTCTTTTAATATTGAGCATGATGTGAGTTTTAGGGGTTTTATAGATACTCAATACTCTTTACCAAGAGGACGTTCACCTGCCTTACTCCTAGTTTATTGTACTTATACTATAAATGGGTGTTGAATTTTATCACAAAATTTCTTGTCCATGATCATGTGACTTTTCATTGTTTAACCGGTTAATATTACAGAGTACATTTGTTGAATTTGTATTATTGAGCCAAGTTTACCTTGTTGGGT